AGAAAGAAAGAAAGAAAGAAAGAAAGAAAGAAAGAAAGAAAGAAAGAAAGAAAGAAAGAAAGAAAAAGAGAAAGAGAAAGAGAAAGAAAAAGAGAAAGAAAGAAAGATACCTGTCCTGGATAATAGGGGGATAGAGGGGCAAGTATTGTATTATCTAAAGTATGTTTGATCTGTAATAAGATTCTTTCATTTGTCACAGTTGGGTGTATTTGCCAACAGTACATTAGCCAAAGGGGGAGAAATGGAATAAGCACTTGTTGCTTTTCATAGAAAAAGCTGCTATATTGATACTTTTTTATTCTCTCTTGTGAACCTTTCGGGTTGCAGTCTAATTATCGTTGATCCTCACTAATGACTCTTTCAGGGATTATCTCTTACAATGTCAGCCATCTGCAGTGGTTTAGAATAATGAACTAACTGGGTACAATTAAGGCTTACTCTTAAATTTAAAAACAAAATTCTTAGGTCTCTCAAAACACAATAGAAGATGCTACAGAAAAAAGTTAGGTGGCATATGAGTATTTTAGTTCCACTGATCAACATTTAATAAGCTACAAAGTTTGGCTGCAGAGAACATTGTTTTGTGAGTTTCTCCTAAATGGGTAATTGTAAAGAATATCTGAATAGCCACTCAATTCTATTATATATGGAAAAATAATTTTCAGTCAACTGCACTTTATCTTGAAATACTGATACTACATGTCCTTGGTCTTCAATTAATCCCTGTTTCTGAGAAAGTTTGTTTTATCCCATATTGCAAATAATCTTGGGTGCCAATCTTAGTGATTTTATTGTTTAATTGTGAAAAGATAACACTGATACTTGAGAGCATTGCATATATATATGGCAAATAAAATAGTGATAAAATGTTAATTTCAATACCTAGTTACCTGAAATGGAGCATGCGGGAGTCATGTGCACATCCCTTGGGCTACAGGCTTTTCCTACTTAATTAACATAAAATCATGTTACTATTAATTTTCATAATAAATAATGTTAATGATATTGAGCTCTAATCAGCTGAAGTTAGTAATATCTAGAGTTGCCATTCTGTACTAATTTAACTGGGAGTACAGTGGGACTTACATCTAAGTAAACCGTGTACTTTTAATCCCACTGAAACCAGTGGGAGACACCATTAATTAATGATGCAATCCTATAAAAAGTTCACCCAGAATTAAGTATCATTGAGGTCAGTGGGGATTATTTTCAGAGAAGTCATAGAATTATATCTTTGAGTCATTACTTTCACACTTAACTTGAAAATAATTGTGCTTACTGAAATGTTTGAGGGGTTTTGTTTTGTTTCGGATGTACTTTGTGTACTAGTGGTAATATTTGTATGCTTTTATTTAGCTTTCGACATCAGATATTCTATTAAGTGAATTCTGTAAATAAATTGTGTAAACTTATATCTAATATTTTAAATTAGAAATTCTCTACACCAGGGATGTCAAACTCGCATCGTTACGTTGTCGTCACGTGACATATCGTGACTCCCCCCCCCACTTCGCTAAACTGGGGCTGGGCATGGCTAGCACATGATGCATTTGGCCTGCCCATCTGGCCAGTTTGACACCCCTGCTCTACACATACAAACAAAATAGAACAATTTCGAAAATGTAATTTTTTTTAAAAAAAACACATGTTAAAATATTCAACAAAAACATAGGCCCATATTTTTTGTGACATAAATAGGTCCATCAAAGTATCAATGCATTAATTTCAGCAAATGTCATCTTCAGAAAAATCTAATCCAAAATATTCGCCATTGACAAGACCATAAATATATGCTTCTCCATTATAATTTTCACAGTGGTGAAAAAATAATTTAAAAAATTTAAATTTCAAGTACCTAAAATAATCCAAAAAAACTTTGGTTTTCTATCAAATCATGAGCTTTGGCAGGATATGCAATATTCACAATATATTAGAACCAGAATATCTCAAGATCAAAAAGCAATGAGGAGTTCTGCATCTTGAAATGGTTATTGATTCTCCACTATTACTACCACAAGTAGAAGAAAAGATAAAGCTAAGACAAAAACTGGGAACTAGTGTGTTATAGCATGTGGGAAAACGTAGAGGTATATAGTTATTTGCAATGGCAATAAATAATTTTATTTGTAACTCGTGGCTGTTCTCTAGCCATTCTGGTGCCATAATTGAGGACAGAAAAATTCAAGGGCAGAAGTTCTGGTGCTATAACTGAGGACAGAACATCAATCCGAGGACAGAAGAGTTTTAATTCTTTAAATTAATTCTGTAAATAATGTGGTTTATTTAAAACTCAAAAAATTATGTCCCAGAAGTTCTGTCAACCCGATTCAGGTTGGCTGCAGTTGAGACAAAGCAAAAGATTTACTTGTTCTGCGTTCAGATGAAACAAAAATGAAAAATGTTTCAGATGTTCTGGCCATAGGCACATAGAAAACAAGCTTCTTTGCTGCAAAAATCTGGAGAACTGCTAGACAACAGCCAAGAGTTACAAATAAAATTCTTTATTGCCATCACAAATTACTGAGCAGGTTGTAAGGAGGAAGAAGCTGGTCTGTCTTTTTCATTTCTCAGACACCACATCTTTCAATCATTTTCCTCCTCCAAAGCAGAAGGAAGGATAAACAAAGGCTCGTTCCTGGTTTTTATCCTGTTGATTATAGAAATTTCAGAGTGCCATGAAGATAATACTCACTTCATAGTCATACTAAATCTCAAAGGCGTAATCAGGAACAAAGAACATACACAGAATGCGTACACAGTTCAGGTGATTATTATCATAAAGCAGATTTGGTCTAGTTGTTATGGCACCAGGCTGGAAAGTGGGCGATCGTGACTTCTAGTTCCACCTTAGCCATAAAAAATGGCTGGGTGACCTTGGGCCAGTCATTCTCTCTGAGTCCAACTCACCTCACAGGGATGTGGGAAAATAAGGGGAGGAAGATATATTGGATAGGTTTGGTGCCTTGAGGTATTTCTAAAAATTATAAAGCTGGGATTCAAATAAATTAATAAATATCCCTTCTTGGTTGGGTCAGATAGGTTGTCAGGCAGAAATTCTTGCTGAGAACTCAAGTTCAAACTGTAGAATTCACTGGAGGAGCCCAACTTCTTTTGCAGTTTACTCAAAACTTTACCAGGAAAAGAACAAAGGGAACACTCAAGGAGTTATGTTTGCACTTAAGATGCTGTATATATGAAGATGAAGAATGATTCAAGTGCAGAAACTGCCTTGGCCATGACTATTCATTCTACCTAATATAACAAACTAAAAACCATTTTGGAAAACAGTGTATCATTTGCAAGATAATTTTATTACTCTCCTTCTCCCCCTTCCTCTGCCTCTCCCTCATCTATTTATCGATCTCTATCAGTCTGTCTGTCTCCTGTCTGTCTGTCTCCAGTCTGTCTGTCTGTCCGTCCATCCGTCCGTCCGTCCATCCATCCATCCATCCATCCATCCATCCATCCATCCATCCATCCATCTATCTATCTATCTATCTATCTATTCTTTATAGTTTATAGAAATATTTGGCAAGAAGAACCCAGTTTCAGTTGATTGAATATATTATACTGGTAAATATAGTCTCAGCAAGCAAAATTCAGTCATATTTGGAATAGTATAAAATCCAACCATAAGATTCCCCAATGTAAAGGAAAATATGGAACCCTTTGGATTCTGTTCTCTTTTAAATTCATTAGTTGCCTTTTTTTTGCCAAATGCAGAATAACTTGGCTAAATACTGGATAACCCCTTATACATCCATCTTAATGTGTGCTTTTTTTTAAACACGTCCTTTTTCATTTTAGATATGGAGTCTGGAGAGCGGTTAACGTCAACAGCAGCCTCTTCCACTGCAGCTTCATCTCCTGCCTTGTCCTCAGCATCCATCGTCTCAGCAATTTCCAAAGGTGGCCTTTCCACTGGAGCCACATCACTTAGCTCCACAATCAACGCCTGTGGTGAATATGCCATATTTGTTATATTGTACCATGTGGATGGCTTGTATCAAGGCATCCAGATGAATTTATGTCACAGTGGAACCTTGTTGCGCAATGCATTATTAATTATAAAGGATGTAAATTGATGCAAAATGATGACATGTGCGCATTGTGTCATCGCACAAATGATAAAGATATGGGGGATGTTGAAAGATGGCAGCTGTAACTATGTGAACAAGGACTCATCCCCTTACATGCAGGTTGTGGCCAGCACTAACTTTTTTGGCCCTTCCTTCTAAAGTTAACCCTGTATGAAACGGCATAAATCGCTAACAGATATAGTGGGTTGCATGTGCCATATTTAGTGTTTAGGTCCACTAAGTCAAGGTTTCACTGTGTTTTAGGATTTTTATAGGTTTGGGATCTGAATGCAATAAAAAAAGAAAAGAAAAGTAGTGAAGTTGGTATGTAACAGAAGTGACATTTTTGCCATTCAGTGTAACGATCCCTAAAACTGATGCCTTGCTAGGAAGGAAACTTTAAAGCAATTGTACAATTATAGGTAAGGAAAGTTCCCATTCTAGAGATTTGGAACTGTACCTTGTAGAACTTCCCAACTCTGACAACATTGGGCAAGAATTTTGCAAGTGAAATTTTGAGAAACATAGCCTGAAGATAATTGAGAACACCAGGTTGAGGAAGTTGCACACCACGCATGATTTGTAGATTGCTTGGATTTTGTTATATCCAAATAGGAACTGATGCCATGAGCTTCCTAAGGGTGTGTAAGTAGCTAATAAGTTATTGAAGAAACGACTAAAAGCTTAAGATAATTGCAAAAGTTATCCAAAGCTGCTTTCACGGCCATGGATCATAGCATTTTGTTGTTGATTATATCCAAGTTGTCCTGGTCATGATGAATTCTTCTTTCTGTCCAGTTCTGTGTGTTTTGTATGATTTCATAGACCAGTGATAGCGTTTCGTTGGTGTGTGGCAAAAGCGTGCATGCAGGTGCATGACAGTGCATGCACACACCCATAGTGCATAGTGCCCCACCCCCATACATGTGCACGTGACCCCTGTGCTCCCACTGCCCCCGCGCATGTGTGTGTGACCCCCCTGCATGCACCTCATTCTTCCTCGCCCATTTTTGGCTTCTAGTTTGGTGCAGGAGGCTTTCCAGGCCCAAAACGGGGTACGGGGGGGGGGTGCGGGCTTTGCTTGGGATGTCTGTGCCCTGTTTTGGTTTTCAGGTTGGTGCAGGAGGTCTTTCAGGCCCAAAATGAGGTGGGGGGGGCGCACGAGGTCCCAAAATGCAATGCGAGCTTTCCCCGCATATGTACCGCCTGCACATATGTGCACAAGTCCTTCGCATGTGTCCTGTCCCCTGTGCATGCGCGGCAGAGACTTGAAGACCAGCTGGCCAGCAGGAGGCATGTGTGCATGTCCGGTGGAACTAGGCTGGGACAACAGCTGGCCTGCCCGCAGAGAGGGCTGTGCATGCCACAGGTTCACCATCACGGTCATAGGCTATCTGTCAAAATGTTTCTGCAGAAATTGTTTGAATAAGACAAAAACCCACCAAATCAGCAATCTGAAATGCTGTACAGTACGTTTAATTGAGAATTTGGGGGCAGAGTGTGTTTTTAAACTCCCAAATGCCTGATAAATATGAAAGTATATGTGTGAATATGTCCTTATGCAGTCAGAAGCAAGTAATCTGGTACCAGATCTGTCCAATACCAGAACAAGAGACAGTGAACTACTAGTTTTTACTTTGTATGGGAAGGAAAAAGAGGGACATATATTAGAAGTTTCACTATAACTTTATTCATTAACTTCATTAACTTTACTGCACTAAATTTACTTATTAGTACTTTGGTGGCTTTGCAAGTCTATCCTTGCAAATAGTTTTTTTACTAAGTCAGTTGCGACAAGTCTTACCCATGTGTCATCTTGATGATTTACATTATTTGCATAATGATATCATTATGCAATGTAATAAAATTGCAGTTAAATTAATGTAAATTTAACTGGATTGTTTAAAACTATTTTGGATTTGCCAGACTTCCCTCCAGGCAATCTAGACTGGAAACACTTATTCCAAGGAATGAGAATTTTAACCTCTGATTAATAGTGTTTAGTTGCAGGAAGGTTAAGGATTCTAGCAAATTTCCTGTTATCAAGTGAGTCATGTATGTATAGGCAATTTAATTGACAATTTCCTTATCTGTTTTCCTCCTGATTTTTTTATATAGAGGACCAGAAGCTTGTCTCTTTTGTGGATCACTCCACGCCTGTTCCTTGTTTTATAAAGTTCATTCCAATCAAAGTGTAAAGCAACTCTAAAAGGATTCAACAACCTGTTGTTTGGTTTCAGGAGGATGTTCCAATAGAAATTTGATCAATTAAATGGGGATGTATTTAGGTTTCAATGCATATGGAATCTCATTTATAGTATATATCCATTACATTTGTAGTTAAACTCTTCGTCTGTTCACTTCATGACTGTTTACACTAATTGGCAGCAGTTTGCCAAGAATAAAGACAGAATGTTTCCCATGCTAGTCTAGGATTGAATCTGTAGCCTTTTAAATTAAAGCAGATGCTCCACTTTTGACCTATCAACATTACTAATTACATGATACCTATATTTTTAGCTGTTGGTAGAAGTTGTGGAGAGATCTGTGACAAAAAAGCTGCCACTACCCTGAGCAAGAAGATGAGAGAAGCTTTTGATACATTACAGAGTGAGATGGGTAGCATATAAATAAATGCAAACTTTATTTTTCCCATTGCCTCCAAGATGGGAAAACTTATTATGTAATCCAGTGCAGGTTCTGGAGATATGTTGGGTGAATTAGGATGCATAAGATCCTTATTTTTAAATACTAATCTAAGGAGCCTGAAGGTAAATACCTTCAGTTGAATGATATTGTTCTTTTTAGCTTTTCTTCTTCTTTTTTTGATTTTGTCAGCAGCAGTTTGAGATTTCAGACGGGAGTTATTACATCTCCACTAGCTTGATTGTCCAAACTGCAAAAAATAAAAAATAAAAAATAAATCCATAAATTGGCTTCACACAGAGTCCAGTATGGAGTAAATTTCCTATGATTTACAATGCAAACTTCAACAATCTCAAACAAAAAAAAAGTCTCTAAATCTCAATCTAAATTAAAATAGATTTTCTCCAGGGTTATCTGAGATTAATAATTTCAGATCTAAATGCTTTACATTTTCTGAAGTATAATCACATTCAGCATTTACAGAGTTCACTGCAAGGTCCTATGTTTGTAAATATGGCTCATTGTATAAAATCAAAATATTGGTATTTGTGGATCTTCAGTGAATCACAGATGTTGTTAACCTATTTTGTTTCACATATCCTTTCATTAATTAAATAAAAGTTGCAAAATAATTGATTTGGTCCATTGATAATATCCAGAGCAGCAGGAGGAGAGACATTTGAGCCATTATGATAGAAAGGTAATTCATATTGAAGATTTGTTTCTGCATCAGCATAGTATTTTCAGTATGTATAGTTTAGATGATAATTATTTGGGTCAGGACATTAAAAACACAACAAAACAAAGGTCCTTCCATAACCAGCTACACTCCCTAAACTCTGAGAACTTTTTTGAACTGCCACCTAAGGATGCTTAGAAGAACTATTCAAAGGAGATTCACAGCATTAAAAATTATTCAGGCAATGCTGAATAATTTTCTCATTCTTTAAGGATAACAGGAATGACCTGCATATCCTGCATAGTCTGGATTCCTTTTCAAATCCAAAGTGTTGAACAGTCCTATTGCTCATTGTTGCTGTATTCTCTTTGTCCCTGTGCTTTCCCCTCTAGCTCATGGGTGTCAAACGCACAGCATCACTTGGTGCTGTGTGACATTTTCCCCATTCACAGAGGTGGGGTGGGTGTGGTCTGTGCATGACACATCTGGGCCACCATGTTTGACAGCCCTGCGAATCGGGCAGATATATAAGGGAGAACAAAAAGACAATCAGGTGGCACCTTATCCCCATTCTTCCTGTAACATGGTTGTTTTTTTTTCCATGTGAAAAAAGTAACATTTTCAATGATCCGAAAAGCAGACTCTGCATTTGCGGGAGGAGAAGGAGGAGAAGGAGGAGAAGGAGGAGA